GGACGTAAAATGTTGAAGAAAATAAAAAAATAGAAACTGTTCCAAATGAAACTCTTCTTTAAAGTCACGCTGTTTCACTCTCAGGGGGTTTCAGGCCTTTTCATTAAGTTTGTTTTAATAAATATTTTGACCAGAATCTGCCAGGTTTATTTTGAAAGGGTGTGTCGGGTCTCAGTTCGGGAGTGTGAGCGGCCCCGGGTCCGGCCCCGGGTCCGGCCCCAGGAGCGGCCCCTCCGCTCTAAACACAGCCGACCTTTGTCTAATCTGCTCACGAGATAAACGTGTGAGTGACGCTGCGCAAAGCTCCAAGTCCAACCACCGCACCAGGCATTAAAGCTCTACTCTGGCACTTTTCTGTTGGCTGTGTTTGACTCCCAGAATGTGTGTTTTTTTAATGACACTCGGACATGTTCTCGCTGTGAATCCGCGGAGGCTCCAGGAAAAGTTCTGGTCCGCAGGTTCAGGCTCTGGACGCTCCGCTTCAGTTGTGGGTGTGATTCCCGTTTGAACCAGCAGAGGGCGCCAAAGGAACGAGCCTTTTACTGCAGCAGTCTGGTCATTTTACTGCAGCAGTCTGGTCATTTTACTGCAGCAGTCTGGTCATTTTACTGCAGCAGTCTGGTCATTTCAGGGTCACGAGTGTTTACACAAGCACAGGTAGAACACGACACATCCTGACACGACCTACAAAGACCTGGTTTAGACCTGGTTTAGTCCTGGTTTAGACCTGGTTTAGTCCTGGTTTAGACCTGGTTTAGTTCTGGTTTAGACCTGGTTTAGTCCTGGTTTAGACCTGGTTTAGTTCTGGTTTAGACCTGGTTTAGTTCTGGTTTAGTCCTGGTTAAGACCTGGTCTAGTCCTGGTTTAGACCTGGTTTAGTTCTGGTTTAGACCTGGTTTAGTTCTGGTTTAGTCCTGGTTTAGTTCTGGTTTAGTCCTGGTTAAGACCTGGTCTAGTCCTGGTTTAGTCCTGGTCTAGACCTGGTTTAGTCGTGGTTTAGACCTTGTTTAGACCTGGTTTAGTCCTGGTTAAGACCTGGTTTAGTCCTGGTTAAGACCTTGTTTAGTCCTGGTTTAGTCCTGGTCTAGTCCTGGTTTAGTCCTGGTTTAGTCCTGGTTTAGTCCTGGTTTAGTTCCTGGTTTAGTCCTGGTTTAGTCCTGGTTTAGTCCTGGTTTAGTCCTGGTTTAGTCCTGGTTTAGTCCTGGTTTAGTCCTGGTTTAGTCCTGGTTTAGTCCTGGTTTAGTCCTGGTTTAGAGTTGGTTTAGTCCTGGTTTAGTCCTGGTTTAGTCCTGGTTTAGTCCTGGTTTAGTCCTGGTTTAGTCCTGGTTTAGACCTGGTTTAGTCCTGGTTTAGTCCTGGTTTAGTCCTGGTTTAGTCCTGGTTTAGTCCTGGTTTAGTCCTGGTTTAGTCCTGGTTTAGTCCTGGTTTAGTCCTGGTTTAGTCCTGGTTTAGTCCTGGTTTAGTCCTGGTTTAGTCCTGGTTTAGTCCTGGTTTAGTCCTGGTTTAGTCCTGGTTTAGTCCTGGTTTAGTCCTGGTTTAGTTGGTAGTCCTGGTTTAGTAGTTCCTGGTTTAGTCCTGGTTTAGTCCTGGTTTAGTCCTGGTTTAGTCCTGGTTTAGTCCTGGTTTAGTCCTGGTTTAGTCCTGGTTTAGTCCTGGTTTAGTCCTGGTTTAGTCCTGGTTTAGTCCTGGTTTAGTCCTGGTTTAGTTCCTGGTTTAGTCCTGGTTTAGTCCTGGTTTAGTCCTGGTTTAGTCCTGGTTTAGTCCTGGTTTAGTCCTGGTTTAGCCTGGTTTTTAGTCCTGGTTTAGTCCTGGTTTAGTCCTGGTTTAGTCCTGGTTTAGTCCTGGTTTAGTTCCGGGTTTAGTCCTGGTTTCCTGGTTTAGTTCCTGGTTTAGTTTCCTGGTTTAGTCCTGGCCTGGTTTTAGTCCTGGTTTAGTCCTGGTTTAGTCCTGGTTTAGTCCTGGTTTAGTCCTGGTTTAGTCCTGGACCTGGTTTTAGTCCTTGTACCTGGTTTAGTCCTGGTTCCTGGTTTAGTCCTGGTTTAGTCCTGGTTTAGTCCTGGTTTAGTCCTGGTTTAGTCCTGGTTTAGTCCTGGTTTAGTCCTGGTTTAGTCCTGGTTTAGTCCTGGTTTAGTCCTGGTTTAGTCCTGGTTCCTGGTTTAGTTGGTTTAGACCCTGGTTTAGTCCTGGTTTAGTCCTGGTTTAGTCCTGGTTTAGTGGTTTAGTCCTGGTTTAGTCCTGGTTTAGTTCCTGGTTTAGTCCTGGTTTAGTCCTGGTTTAGTCCTGGTTTAGTCCTGGTTTAGTTGGTTTAGTCCTGGTTTAGAAGTTTTTAGTTTTAGTCCTGGTTTAGTAGTCCTGGTTTCCTGGTTTAGTCCTGGTTTAGTCCTGGTTTAGTTCAGAGTCCTGGTTTAAGACAGTCCTGGTTTAGTTCCTGGTTAGTCCTGGTTTAAAGGATCAAGAGATAAGAACCTGTTTAGTCCCTGGTTTAAGTTAAACCTGGTTT